GCACAGCCTACAGGTACGTCCGCAAGAATCACGTTATACAACCGTGTAGTGCGGTGCGATACACGATCAACAGATATCTGGCAAAATTCTAACCAGTGGAAAAACAGCTGATTCACACACAACACACTGCGCGTTCTCCGCTGCTTCACCATTCCTGTCATAATGCTTGAGTTCATGCGATCATAAATACCATAGGCGTAAGTCTTTGTTTATACCTGAATTCAGCGACTAGGTGGTGACAAGCGCAAAACACTGAAATCGTGACGCGTGTGTGCTACAAATTCATAGCTGACAAAAAAAACACAAAGAAGAGCGAACATGCTTTCACATGCCACGAGATTGCGACACACGTCTTCTACAGCGACCGCCCTGGCTGGAATCCCCCTTCTTTTGCAAGGCTTCATACCCGCGAAGTCGGCGGCTTCACAAGCACCTGTCGATAACGTCTGTATATTTCTTCCAGTTAAGTCCTGCTTTTGCCTCTTGTGCGTGCCAATTCAAACAGCGCGCAAGCACTTTTTCCGGCCTGTCCCACAGCCAGAAGCGCAGCTTTCTCAGTCACGTCTACGACGCGCGGTATTCTCACTAGTCATACCAGCCTCCGAATAGCACCCAGAATGAGGGCGAGTATATCTATCTGCTGAGGCCGCGGCTGGATCACACGATCGGCGGCGTAGCGATTCAATACAGCTAAATCAAAGATAGCGAGCAGACGTCATCCCAGTATTCATACCAGCCGGCAAGCAGCAGACGCGGTCTATCCGCTGGACACAGCCTTGTCGAACGATCGGCGGCGTACCACTTGAAAACAATTGCATCACACGCGGCGAGCAACGTATATGAGTTGCACTGCCACGGTAACCAAAGTCACTGCGATATCTGCGTGGACTGCGTATGTCTGCTGCGCCCAGTGCATCTGCGAGGTGTACATGCACATGAACGCATATGCGAGAAGACACTGAAGAGGGAGAAAAGACTAGGAGGATGGTGGAACTACAACTGCACAAGACATTCCAGGAAGTGCGAGATTACGCACCTTCTCACGCCTTCAGGAGCACCCCGAGAGGCGTGCACTGGGCATATATATATATATATATATATATATATATATATATTGCACATCACCATACATTGTCTCGTCCGAAGACTGCGACGCTTGGGCCGGAGTGGAAAAGAGGGAGATAAGCTAGACACTAAAAACCACCGACAGCGGTAGAACTTGTACGCAGACAAGAAACAAGAGCGAGGCACAGCTGTAATCCCTAACAGCCTAACATATACACGGAAATCACGTCACACAGGCACAACAATAAAGACATACTGCGACTTCCGTCACAATAGAACACAGATGCAAACAAAAAGCATGTGCAAGTAACTGCTGTGACTCTTAAGAGCCTGACACAAGCACGAAAGAAGCCGTCGTACAGCCACAGCAATAAACACATACTATGACGTCGTTCACGGGTAGGACATAAACGCAGGCACGAAGCATGTGCGAGCAACGGCTGTCATCCTCAACAGCCTAACACGAACATAGACGAAGTCGTCACACAGGCACAATAACGAACACGAACTCCGGGGCCCCCAAAGCGACAAGCAACAATGTAGGGACGTGTGCCCATCAGTTCTCTCGGGGCAAACGTACTACCGGCGATCACATCGCTGCTGCAATCACAGCACCTGTCATATCGCTGTACGACGCGGAAGCTGAATCTTCTGCAGGAAGAGTTGCCCTTACAGCAACAGGACTTCCCCACCCACAAAAAGATGTGAAAAGCAGAGAACCAGCTTCGCTGCAATCGCAGCATCATCTGTCGTGTCGCTGCACCGCGTGCGGAGGCTGCAACTGCAGAGAGTTGCCCTAACAGCAACAGACACCTTCCATTAAAAGATATACCAGCGACAGCATCCGCTGCCATCGCAGCACCTGTCACACATTCGTAAGAGAGGTAGTACGGAAGAAGAAGAAGAAGAAGGAGCAACTACTCGCGCTCGCCAGAAAGCAGCAGCAGCACAAACTACTCCCGCTCGCCAGAAAGCAGCAGCAGCGGCTCCTCAGCAGCAGCGGCTCCTTCACAGCAGCGGCGACTCCACAGCATGAGCTGGGCTTCACAGCAGCAGCAGCTTCACAGCGGGTCACCTCTTAGGCATCAACCCAGCAGCAAGCAGCACCGCTGCAATTTTCAGCAACACGTGTGAACCTTTCTCTCGCTACACACGTGGCATGACAACCCTGCAGGGGGCATGCGTGCGTACGTGACGGGAGACTGAGCCGCAAAGCACCTGCCGCAGAGATGTATGGCCGTGAGATCCAACCACCAGCAAGTCCGCCTGCAGCTCTCTAGCGCTCTGACACAGCAGATTAGCCACTGGGGCTTTCGTCGCCCTCGCTGCACAAGCCACACAACTCAAAGGGCGCAGAACGAAAGGGAGTACAATGTATCATGGAGACCCATGTGCGCGCACACAGCTGTGTTCTTCCGCACCTTAGACGAGGCACGCAGGAGGACAGAGATCCGCGGGCGACGGGTCGCAGTGGGCGGAAACACTTGCAAAGAAAGGAGGCACACATGCTCGAAGCATCCAAACGCACGACAAGACTGTGAGCAGTCGCAAAGCCCACCGCCGCGAATGACCTCTACAGTGGCTGGTGCAAATGTATATATATATATATATATATAGGTAGAGACACGTATAAACATATACGCACACACATATACGTACATACAGACAGACATACATATATACATATACACACACAAACACACGCGTATATGTATACGAGAATGTATACACATATATACATATATGTGTACACCGTGTGCAGCGCTTACAAACGAGTCCCCTTCCCCTCTTGGCCAGTACACCATCGAGTGCTAGCAAGCGCCTACCGACCACGAAGTCAAAGACACACCAGCGTGAGTACCGCGCGCAACATATGTATACATATATACACGTATAGTAGTGAAGAGTCTCTTGCTTCAGCATCGACTAGTGCGTCGGTATGAACTTGTACGAATCGAGTGTCACATATCCGCCTACACATATGTGGACAGCCACCAGTGATACCGTCCTTCGTGCCATGGACCCTGGGTAAATATTACGCCACAAAACATAACGCCGACGGAGCACAGCACCAGGACCACTCTACCAACACGAACAAGCAAACAGGACACGCGAGCACAGATCCCTGAATGTCACAAGCAGTAGCAACGGTGGAAGTGTGAGTCACAGGAGATCGGTGAGAACATCACGAAGCAATGCCACGCCATGGAGCACACCTACACAGAATACAGAGAGACGCACGCCGCGGCAGCGCGAGCGACTGCGCGCGATCAGACAAGCACTGCATAACAAGTGACTATGGGTGCAAACTCTCTTGTGCCACTCGCACGTCTCTTTCCACGGGCAGAAGAAGCTGTATTTCTTCGTTTCACTGTTGCCGCTCTACGCGATAGACGGATACATATATATATAAACACGTATGTAATAGTAGAACATCAACAGCGAGATTAGCAGCTCCCTCCCTTTAAGGCAGCAACAGAGCTTAACGAGAGGCGCCACCAGCGGGCAGATCCGACACTCAGCCAGCAGCGCAGCACCCAGCCGCTTTACACAGCTGGTAAGACGGGTAGCCATAGCGAGGTTTACAGCGATATATACACATGTAACGTTAGAAGTGTCTATATACATGTAACGCATAAGTGTGTTACACACCACTGGTAAGGCGGGTCCCAGAGTGAGACTGGATCATAATGTATACATAAGTAGAGATAGAAGTGTGTATGTACATGTAACACACCCGTAATGGTACAACAGTAATACCGAGATTACCAGATCCCTTGCACTAAAGCAGCAACAGAACTTACCGAGAGGCACCACCAGCGGGTAGACCCGACAGTCAGCCAGCAGCGCAGCACCCAGCTGCTTTACGCGGCTGGTAAGACGGGTAGCCATAGTGAGGTTGTAAGTAGACGCGTCCACGCTCGAACTCAAAATCATGCCTGCAAACAGCACCGATAGGACGTGAGAACCGCAGGGAAGAAGCAATAAAATCACTCGACCGCCAGCGGGCAAAGGGGCATGAAGTATATATATGTATATATATACATAAGTATATGTGTATACACATCATATGCACCAACGCTCGCTTAAGCAGTGTGGCTGCCACTGGCGAATCCACTCCCACAGAACTTACACGTGGTGGGTCATTCTGATGCAGTACGTCTTATGACGAAAACCGGAGCCGCTAGCTGTCTCCTGTAACAGCGTCTGGTCCCAGGTGCTTCATGGGCAAACACCCAACGCGTGAGCACAAAGAAGCAAAGCACAACCTATAGCGAGTCCACTCATGCACTATCTGGTGGCTCACGCTGCTGCAGTATGCTGCTATACGGGGAACTGAAACTGCTAGTGATCTCCTGTAACAGCGTCTGGTCACAGGTGCCTCATGCAAACAGCCAAGTGGGCGAAAAAAAGTAGAACAGAAACACTTGTTCGCCGTCCACCAGTACAGCGCCGGTCTTCCTCTTTTACTCTCACTACTGCTGCATTCTGTCCGCTCTTGTACAAACAGGTGGCTCCTAGCAGGCTGCAGTGTCGACATACTGTACCACTAGGACTACTTGCAAACATTTCGCACATGTCACATATTGCACGCGTATTCACTCGAACACGAGTACTTGTCACTACAACCAACGAGGCACCAAAGCCACACCCAACTACTTTACGGGTTACCCACACTAGACACAAAAAAAATACGTGTGACTGTGAGTGAGTACCGGCAAAACGGAAGTGAAAGAAGATGCAGATGTGTCTCCAGCGCCACGAGAAGAATCTTTGCCGTGCCCAGAAACACCCACACAAACGCACACCACCTAGCCGCAATCAAAAGCACCCGCACACGTGTACACGTGCGCGAGTACATACACACACCCGTACATACATATATACATAGATACGTACATACATACATATATACATACATACATAAATACATACATACATACACACCTACATACATACATACGCATACACAGACACGCATACAAACGCACACACACACACACATACACAAGCACACACACATACACGCACACATACGCACACACACACGTACACGTACACGTACACACACACACAGAAACACAGGCACGCATACATACACATATACACACACTTACCACCCGATAAAAAAAAAGCGCGCAGACAGCTCTTGACACAACCTCGTACCGAACCTTCATGCAGAGGTGGGAACATGTGTCTACAGCATAACGCACGTTTCTATCCTCACTCGAACACAGATACAAAGATATACGCACTCGCACATACGAGCCCGTGTCTTCGCGTAACATTCTGTATGACGTACACACATACACATATATATATATATATGTATATCTGCCACTACCTGCGTGACGGATAAGCAACCCTTTGTTTCCCCCCACATACACACTGCGGCACTTACCAGGAATGCGTAAGTACTTGGGTTCCTCTTCTCGCTTCCATGCAGTAATGAGATCACGCGCCTACAGCATACCGCACGTATTTACCTCTCTCAAAGACATATACAAAGATATATGCACCCGCCCTTACAAGCACATGTCTTCGCGTAGCACTCTGTATGACGTACACACATATACATATATTTGCACATACATACATATATACGTACATACGCACATATATATATGTATATCTCCCACTACCTGGGTGACAGAAAAGCAACCCTAGGTTTCATACAAACACGCAGCGGCACTTACCAGGAACGCGTAGGTACTTGGGCTCCTCTGCTCGCTCCCACGCAGTAATGAGAACGACCACATCTCCTGCGCGCAGCAAGTTATGTCGTACCCACTTGAGTACTCTTCTATCCCGCTGGCGATGACCTTCTACCGAAACCACGACTACCTGTCTGCCCAGGCAGCTGCCGTTGCTGCAGCAGCAGCACTCAGGGGTAGCTGCGGTGACACTGCTGCGCTGGGCGCTGCAGCTGTCGCACAAGCCGGCCCCCCCCTCTGTGCTGCTGCTTCCACTGCTGCTTCCTCCAGCTTTGCTGCCGCTGTCTGGCATGGTGCTCTGTTGCTGGAACAACAGGCTCTCCCCACTGCACGTGACCGCCGCCGCTTCTTCCTTCCCTCCAGAAACTTCACCCGTATTCGCCCTCCGCTGCAGTCCTGCCCCACATGTACATGGCGCCTCAGCCTGGAGAAACACACGCAGCAGAACACCTTTCCCGCATGTAACAGCTTCGGTACACCGACACTGGAATCCGCACTGGAACACACATCATATATATATATATGTATACATAGACATATATATATATATATATATGTACATATATAGAGGGTATGCCAGCATTCGGGTCCAGCTCGCATATTCCGCAAATCCTCCAGCTGGCTTTGTACGGCCCGTGCTCGCTAAAAGACGGAGATGATTAGTCCTGATCATCCGTGTGTTCTAGAAGCACGAACGTGAACTAGTATTTGCGGGAGATTCATCTACTTAAAAGCGGCGACAGCACGGAATCTTAGCTAGGAAACCACTACGCGCGTTCGCGACCACCCCCACCATCATCAGGCCGTGTGTACTGCGCAATCACATCACTACTGCTGCCTGCTCAGTATATACGCACGTATCGCTCAGAGGGGCCCGAGTCTAAGCTGCTTTCAAATAAGGCTTGACGGCCAGCATTTGCGTAACGTGACAAACCTCTACGTACCAAAACATGCACACAAAGGAAACGTGGGATACACGTATATATACATATATATATATATATGTATACAGAGAGAGATGAACTGGTAGATGGATTAGATAAATATACGGGCATAGCTCTTCGACAAAACAGATTCTTCAGCCCTAGTGCTGCAGCGCTGTTTATTCAGCTCCCCGCAAACTGCTGTGCACGACAGTCGCTGCAGGAGGGGGGGATACACAGTCAGCGTGCACGTATACAATGTGGTAAGTTCGCACATAAAGCACTCTGACGGAATATATATATGTATGTATTCTTCTTCAGTCCCGGGTCCGCGCCACACGCACTGCAGCAGACGATCCACACTCAGCCTGACCGTATATAACGTGGTAAGTTCGCACATACACTGCAGTGCATCAGAGTCACTGCAGCGTACACACGCAGCGTGAATGTATATAACGTAATAATTTGCACACAGCGCTCTCGAACAGAATATATATATAGATATACATATATTTCTTCGTCAGCCCCGAGTCCGCATCACAGCCACTGCAGTAGACAATACACAGTCAGCGTGAATGTATCTATAAGGTGATGAGTTGGCAGACAAACTGCTGTGCATCACAGTCACTACAGCAAAGGATACATCCTCAGCGTGCATGTATATACAGTGATGATTTCGCACACAAAGCTCTGTAACAATATAGCTTCTTCAGCCCCGAGTCCGCGTCACGGTGACTGCAGCAAAAGACTCACACTCAGCGTGAATGTTTCGGACGTGATACGTTCACACACAAACCGGTGTGCATCACAGTCACTGCAGCACAGGATGCACACTCAGCGTGAATGTATATAAAGTAATCAGTCCGCATACAAAACTCCCTAACAACACAGAGTCTACAGCCCCAAGTCCGCGTCACAGTGACTGCAGCAGAGGTTCCGCACTCAGCTTGAATGTGTGTAGCGTGATAAACTCGCACACAAACCGGTGTGCATCACAGTCACTGCAGCACAGGATGCACAAACAGCGTGAATGTATATAAAGTGATAAGTCCGCACACAACGTTCTCTAACAATATAGCTTATACAGCCCCGAGTCCGCGTCACTGTCACTGCAGCAGGATCTTACACTCAGCGCGGATGTAGATGACGTGCTAAGTCTGCACACACACTGCTATGCGGCGTGGTCACTGCAGCAGCGGCTACACCCTCAGCATGAATCTATATAAAGTGATAACTTCGCACACAAAGCTGTCTAACGATATAGATTCTTCAACCCCGAGTCCGCACCAAAGCCACTGGAGCAGAGGGTACACACTCCGCGTGAATGCATATGACGTGATAAGCTCGCACTCGAAGCTCTCTACCAGAATATATATCTATATATATATTCTTCTTCTCCACCGAGTCCAGAGCCCCGCTGTTCCTGCGGACCACGATCAACTGTGCATCACATGTCCACCAGGAGCCAGGCCCTTCATGCCGCGGTGGGTGGAAGTTCTTCCGTGTGTTGCTACTGTGTGTAAAACTGGGACGCTCGCAGGCCAAAAAAAGCGAGGGAGAAGGGAGATAAACAGAAGAAGAGGAGGAGGGGGGGGAGCAGCAGGAGGAGGAAGAGGCACCGCGCGCTCCCTTCCTTCATACGCAGCCGCTACCAGAAATAGGAAGATAAGGGCGTCTGGCGACGCTGGTACCCGCGCAAACGCCGAGAGCACGATCAGGGCAGCAGATAACACAGACGTGTGTATGTCTGCCGCTGCTGCTGCGGCGGCCCTGCTGCCGGCGTGCACATTTTGTCCACGGTTTTTGCTCAAAAAAGCGGGACGAAAGACGAGGAGGAGGAGGAGGAGGAGGAGGCGCTCCGCGATGCCCTCGTTTAAACGCAGCCGCTGGTGGCAGAAAAGAAAGGAAAAGAGCGTCTCGCGCCGCTGGTAGGCGCGCCATATCAAGGTCGATAGCAGCACGATCAGGGCAGCGGAGAGAAGATGTCTTCTACAGCGGAATTCAGGACGTTAATTTCTAGTTCCGTCAGCAGCAGGAACCATCCACCGCGTACTACAGGAGCACGAGGCTAACCTCTACAGTTCCGTCAGCAGCACGAACCATCCATACTACGTGACTACGCCCGGTAAGCTCTTACTGCATTCGAGCATCGCACACACGTCCTGCTACCGGTGTTCCCATGAAGCCGCAGATACCGATGTTCACATGAAGTCCATGATGGTTGCTCAGGAAAGCAGCTACCGGCGTTCACATGAAGTCCACGGTTTTCGCTCGAAAAAGCGGATAAATCGTCTGAGAACGACGGCGCTCAAGTATATAAACATACACACGTATACACATATATATGCATATATGTATATATATATATATATCACTCTCTCTCTCTCTCTCTCTATATATATATATATATAGCAGAGTGTAGTGACACGCGCGTCCGACTCACCTCTACAGACGCAATGCTCTTTGATGGTATGTCCGAGGAGACCTCTAGACCCGTAAGCGTGCGTCCCGGCTTGTAGATGCAGGGAAAATCTTTCTCTATAAAGCACTTGACCCCCCACACGAGGAGCTCAGCGCTCCGGCCTGAAGCCACGACGCATGCAAGCGCATTTTGAAGGGCCTGGTAGCCGGCATTTCCATTGCTGTCATCAGCAGCGTGGACCCCACCTTCCGCTTCTTCTTCATCTTCGCTGTCTAATGGTGCAGCAGCAGCAGCGGCGCTCCTTCTTCCTCCATTTCCCGTCAAAGAGGCAGCAGCAGCAGCAGCAGCCACATCAGCGCTTCTTCCAGCAGCAGCGGCAGCAGCGGCCGTTGCCCCCGGAAGCGTGGGTTTCCTGCTGCCTGTCGAAGAAGACGGGCCTGTACTCATTCTGGGTAGTGCTGTTGCTGCTGCTCCTCCTCCTCGCTTTTTTCCCCCTGCTCCTCCTGCTCCTTGTCGATAAGGATCCGCAGCAAACTTGCCACGGTTCGCAGCCGCAGACAAGCGCGGATGTCTCTTACTGCGAGAAGTAGGCAGCGCGCCTTCTTCTTCAGCTTCCCCGTTATGACTACGAGGCAGCCACTCCTGGATCCCTGTAGACGCCGAGGTAGTAGAGGAAGAGGCCTTGTCCTGCACGTGAAGCATGTCCTGGTAAGCCTCTAGCTGCAGCGGCAATACGCCGTCAAAAGGAGAAGCGACTACCCCCTCCTGTTGCTGCTGCTGCTCCTGCGGAGGAAAAGCTTGGTGTTGCCGCTGTCGAAGGGGGGAGACTTGCTCCTCCGCTTGTTGCTGCTCCGGTGGTGGGCGAAACTCAGACGGGGCCCGCAAAGAAGCAGAAGAAAAAAGCGAGGAAGGGGGAAGAGGAGGAGGATGAGGAGGAGGGGGCGCCGCGCGCTCCCCCCCCCTGAAGGCAGCGGCCAGCACGGAAAAGGAAGAGACGCGTCTGGCGCTGGTGGCAGACGCGCCGAAGTCGCTATCACTCGTGCTGCTGTTGAGAAAGCTACATCCGCTACGTGAAGGAGCAGGTGGAGAAGTTGTATCTATTGCTTTCGGAAGGGGAACAATCCAGGTCGGCGTGCAGTCAATAGAGTACATCGTCGAGGAGGAAGAAGAAAGGAACAAAGCGTCACCTTTTCTCCGCTGCGGCTACAGCGGTCCGCTGCCAGTAACCCGGCCTCAGTAAACCGGCGTTACCAGCGAGACTTTCCGCTTTTGAATATCTCTGAAGCGCCTTCAGCAACCAGGACAACTAACTGCGTACGGGGAGGTGTGAAAGTGTGCGTCACACAGTGCCTGACCCTTCTTCCACTGGGGGGACCGGCGACTACGGCAGGGGGCAGGAGGGAATGCGAATGTAGAACGCCTTTCACGCTGCTGGCAAAAGGAGGACACAACACAGATAGCGTCAACTTTTCCGTCCACAACTATCAGAAAGGAGGATCGCAGGGAGCCCACAGGAAAAGCCGGCGACAATTATTCCTTCTTCACTGAGAGCGAGCCGCGAGATGAGGAGGGAAGCCAAATGATGTTATGACGCAAGAGAGGAACATGCAGAGGAGCACGCCCACCTTCGGTTGTGCGACACACAGCATTACAGTGACAGCAGTGTTACTGTTTCTCAGTTTTCCGGAGAGAAAAACCTGCACCCGCCTACTACGTGCAGCGGCCGCGCAAAAGTAAGCACAAGCATTTCACATGTCGTGACTTTTCAGCGATAAAGTGATCGCAGAAAATCCTGTGCCACCACCATGCTTGTAGGGAACCCGGGAGTTGGCCGTGGACGCCGGGCAGGACGGGCGCGCTGGGCATCGACTTGGAAAAGACGATGATCGGGGGAGCGGCGTCGCGGATATCGCACAACACAGGGGCCACACGGGAAAAAGGGCTGCGGGAAAACGGAAAGACACTCACCGGCAGATTCACTCAATCAGCTGTTTTGATCACATCCGGCTGGCATATGGAAAAGCGACGGCCACACGAGCGGACAACAGCAGCGCAGGAAAGGACACTCCGTCCTCATCGCAGCAGACCTCTCACTTCTACCCCGCGAATTTGCTCAACAAAACGTTCTGGATCCGAAAAATTCATGCCAACGGCTACACGGCGGATATAAACCCCTAACGAACGCGCGCTTGTGAAGATGTAACTGATGATACCGCCAGCACCGGCCCACGTGGCCGGCCCACGCTCCCCTACTACCCGCGTGACTGACTGCGCCGCCGCCGCGCGCGGACCGGCAGCTGGCGTGAACAGGAGGGGGCCACGACAGCGCAGCGCAGCAACTGCAGCAGCCGCAGCATCCCGTAGCCACAGGCGCGGCCTCGAGAAGAAAGCCTAGACTTCTTGCAACCAGAGGACGTAGAAAGGACACCACTTGTTGCTGGTAGTAGTAGTCATACGACTTGCTAGCAGCTACCGCCCGGAGCTGGGCTAGGTGCGACTGTGCCGAGAAGCCTGCGAGAAAAACAAGCACTTGGACTAGGGGAGGCGACTAGTAGACATCAACTGTCTCGTCATGAGCCGTGCATGCACAAAAGAATTGTTTGCAGGAGCGCCGGTGGTAGTGGGTTCGCTTGTCAGTTGCTGTCGGCTGTGGACCGTTGTTGCTCACGGAGGATGCTACAGTCTGCGTCAAGACAGCACCCTGATCCCGGGGTCAGCAGTCTGGTGCTCAGAGTCTGGGATCACCGACCAGAAGCCTGTAGCGGTTACTACAGATTATCATGCTTTTTCTGTTGGTCTGTGGCAAAGTAGATCACATCTCAGCAAAGTAGGACACCGGTCACTCCGTGTCGAAAGATACTTCTGACCTGGTCCACATTGTCGTACCGGTTCATCAGTATCTATTCTTTCCCGTTAGCCCCACGTATGCTACACGATAGCGCACGTTGTTTTTTGGGTGTCGCTCCAATTTAGGTCGTACACGAAGCAGCTTGCTCGTACTAGGTATCCTTCAGTGATATACTGCGATAAGCTGCTTCCGGGGACCCACAACGTGCTTCTTCTGCGTCCTTCGCATGTTTGGCGAGCACTGCTGCACACTGCATCTACCCTACCAAGCGTGTTAAAATACACGCGTCTTGGGATACTCCCGCCAACACAGCGGAATCAGCTGAAGGCAGGTGACGCTAATGCAATGGCTTCCGCGTCTCATGAGCAGACGTAGACGTGATGCACTCCGCAGGCGCAGACGACGTGATTTAACATGCGATGCCCGGCTGAGCGGCTGAGCATCGGCAAGCGTCGTTTTCGACGCCTCGTACTTCTGACCCTACTTTCAGCAGTCTAGGGACGAGATCGTCGAGTTGACTCTCGCGATCTAAAAGCCTGGCCTGTGACGATCAGCCGGTCAGCTGACCGCGGTCACCCTCGTCACACTGCCAACTCCGGCACCGCTGTATTTAAACGCAGATTATACGCCACAGTTTTGAGTCAGCACCGTCGTGGACTCAGAAGACAGCGCCTTCTCCGAGATTGTGGGAGAGTACTGGGATCAGCCCCGAGTAAGCATCTTCCAAGCGCGGTCAGCCCTTGTGCCTAACTCAGGAGAGGCCGAAGGGCGACGGACGCGTCACGGGGACGCGGGCCGTTTTACAGGTGCGTGCATCTTTCAAGGTCTGGGGCCGCTGTCCGCCTCGTGTTTTAGCCTAGTGGGCGCTGCATCTAACAGCGAGGACAACCGTGAGAACGCGCGTTCTACCGTCGCTCACTGTGTTCCGCTCCTCTTCCGTAGCATCGTGTGGTGGGCTGTCTACGAGCATTGGAATCTGGGGAGCGGGGCCTGGCTGAGGAGGCAGGACACGTCTCGAAAGGATGGGCGCGTTCAGCCTGTGCCAATGCACCTTCTAGGCACGTCTCTAATGGCAGCGGAACAAGTGTAAATCTCTGTAGTGGACCCGCATGTTTGCGACTGCCCTCGCTGCTACCTCTGTTGCAGAGGACGACACCGCTCTCGAGTAATTGCGTTCCCATGGAGTCCAGTGAACAGCGGAGGATGCCTGCGAAAATGTGTGTAAGGATCTCAAAAAGGCTGAAACTGTGAGACTGGTGGCTTTGCTTGTAGTCTGGAGGACGCGTGAGAGTATGCAGACGAGTGCGATGATTGCGAGCAGGACCACGACGGGAGCCTACTATATATATAGATATATATATATATATAACCGGCGTACCTGGACGTACGTGTGGCACACTGTAATACAGATATATACACAGTGTATGGAATACTAGTACATAGACGTATACAGGCCTATGCATATGGAGAGAGATGTACGCGTGGAGCTGGCGAGCCCCTGACGCGAATGCAAGTGGTCCTCAGAAGGCGACAGGCGCGTGTACCTCGCAGGAGACTATTGTAGCCGTACAGCTTCTTTTTGGTGGGGAACAACTCGGAGGCACATGTGAATGGTGCGCCAGACGGTTGCGTAGACCCTTAGGGCGAGACCACCTGCCGCCCTCGCGGACACTGTACTCAGCACATTCGTGACTTTGGTACGTCGCTTCCGGCGTCGGATAAGAGCTGGCAGGCTAGCATACAACGGCACTTCCACCGTTCTTGCTGCGGCAGTCGGGAAGAGAGTCAACAATAAGTGGCTCATTCCTTCTCACGCCATCGCCTTTGGCGCAAGAAAGGGTAGGCGGTGCTACGGCGGAACGGGTCGGGGTGAAGGGTTGCCATGCCACCGTCTGCGCTCCTCAAGGGCGGGAGCGACTATGCCTTTACCCAGGAGCGCAGAGACCAGAGCACATGCGACGGCTAAAAACACTCGCTTTACCAGGGGATTGATCACCTGCACGGATGAAATTGCGTATGGCTGGCACCTCTTGGCGCCAGCAATTATGCCCGAAGGGTCGGAAGGTGTCACCGAGAAGGCATAAGGCAGCAGCACGCCGCTGCGCTGAAGTGGGGATGCGTTGCACTGCGTGACTGGAGCCCCTCCCGGCAGCTGGCAGCAGTAAAGACGATACGGAAGTCGCTGTCTGTGGCATCACACAGGAATGGACATTCGGACAGCCCGAAACCGCAGGCAGCTCCAAGCGTGCCTCTCGTACAGCTTTGGTGAAAAGTTAAACGAATGTTGGCGGAACCGCCACGTGTACGAGTCCCCGGCCAGCGCCTTGTGCTGCAGGAGTACGTGTGTGCCTGAAGGGACGCTTTTCGGTGGGCCTTCTGTCTTGGCTGCTTGTCATATGCGCGGATCAGCAACATCGTCGCCGCCGGTGTAACCGCTGCAGACGTGCGACGAGAATATGAGTAGCGTACAGGCTCTTTACGCACACATACCTATCTCGTGCACGGCAGCGGATTTTCACCGTGGTGCAACGTTGGCGCTGTTTATGCAAGTTCGACACGCGTACAGCCCGGTATTTCGCAGCGTCGACACAGCCTGACACCGTCAGCGCTTCTTTCACACCAGAACGACACCCGCAAACCTCCCTGGGGAAATCTTTCATCCGTCGCAGCTTCGCTTGTCGAGAGCTTCTTGTGCACGGCTGGAGAGTTGCGGCGGCTAGGCAAGCAACCGTGCTCGGAACAAAGATGTGTGGCGCCACGCACTCCGTTCTACAGCTCGGGGTGAATAGTACGAGCAGGGAAGAGCTTCCTGACTGCACTCGGTTGCAGAAAGGGTTGTCTTACCCAGCAGCAGTCTAGGCAATAACAAGACGGGGGCGTCAGTCCCTCGCTGATTCGCGGTTTGGCAGCCGCAACTGCTCGACAGGCATTTCCTACAGGAGATGCCCCTGGAGCGTGCTACATCTTCTAACGGCGCTTAGTGTGCGTCAGCAGAATAAAATTTGTGGCGAGAGCGGGAAGCTGAGACGCCTTCTTGATCCGAAGCTCTTCTGGTTACCCGTAGTGCGCACCACGGCCTCCACCGACCGGCGTCCTCTCGCCATGTACTCCCTGGTTTCTGTAGCCTACGCGCATCGCGAAATGTGCACAAATCTTGTGCGGTATATCAGGAGTTGTTTCCGAAGACTGCGTGCGGCGAGCCGAGGCCGGCACATGCTCCTGTGGCGCTTCGACGAGCCGTGAAAACATGCGGCAGCCAGCAAAAGTTGTGGAGACGCCTGCGGTGCGGTAACGACCACAACCGCAGCGCGCCGCAAGAACCGCTGCTGGTAGTCCAGCAGCCGGATGAAAATGCGGAGAGCATTCAAAGCGCCACTTGCGACACGCGTAGGTAATAGGAACATTTGAAGAGGGGGTTTTTAGCGCAGTTTCGCACGATGTTCCGAACCTCAGGGATATGTTGTCTTCAATCACCTCCGCGGACGGTGTGCGTCGCCAGAGTTTTCGCTAATCAGCACCACCGGCGGCGAGTCCCTGGTGACACGGTATCGTCCTGTTCGCCCACACCGCCTCCTACTTCGCAGTATGAAAGATTCGTGGGCAAGACTCTCCGCATATCAAAGCGCGCTGCGGGCAGCGGAGTGCCCCCTCAGCGCAAGTGCAATACTTCCTCTTCTACGTTCCACAGAAGGCGCCCATGTTCGTTCAGGACTGCCACTCAACAGTCGCCACATAATGTGCGAGAAAGCGTCGGCGTCATGAAGAAAAAGGAAGCGTGATGCATTCCAAAAGACGGAATGTTTTCTCGCAGCCGACGCTCCCTGAATGTATGTGCCTGCAGGACTCGTCTGCTGCATTCCCGCGAAGCTCCATAGCAGACGGCTTCTGAAGCCTGGCGCTCCCGCGAAGGCAGTCCATCGCGGGCGCGTTTTTTAGAATGAACAGGTTTACTACGTAAGCGGGTGGTCGCCTCCGCTTACCGTCATGTTCGAATAGCGCGGGCACTAGCGCAAACATGGGCGCACACGGGCAGCCCCTTTCTGTATCGCGTTCGGAACGCCGAAACCGGGAGAAGATCTCTCGCAGCCGCGCGTGCTGCGGTGCTTCGATGGCGGGATCTGTCGACGGTGCGGCAAGAAGCGATCCGTTAGGAACCGGGGTGCACTGTCGTCCGCCTGCACGCGCTACAGGCCCTCGGCAGGGTTGTGTCGCGAGCACCGGCTCAACGCTTGTGTGTGACGGACTATGTAGTGGCACGTCACCTTCTGCTGTCTAGATGGTCGAGACGCCATCGTGATACTAGGTTACAGTACATCGCGTGCACACTGGTAGCTCTGGGATGCAGTTCTCATTTGAGCCAGCTTTGCTGGTACTCGTAGCCCTCCGTTCCGTAGCCCTATGTGCACGCCGTCACAAAATCGCAGGCTATCCTCCCGAAGTCCGCAATCTATGTTCTGTAGTGTAACTTTCTGGGTATTTGCCCGGCCTACTGTGCTGGAAGTACACGCTTTCATAGTGCTGGCGCCCGTATTTGTCACTCGGGAAAGCTGCACAGTAGCACACCCGCTGCACTAGTTGTCTATAGAAGCCGGGCTACTACACCATCTACGATGAATTGTCCGCGTTCCGCGCGTAATGCAGGAGGAAGTTTCGGACGCGCACTGCTCACAGCGTGAAGAAATTCTGTGTCGCGAATCTTGCAGCTGGTCCACTGAGACCCCTGCGCTCGAACGCTTGGTTAGTCGGGGCAGTGACGCTCCCAAAGCACGTGCAGTCCGCACCAGCAGATTCTTGCAAAGCGTCGAATGCCTCTGTTAAGCCTCGCTTCGCAGAAGTTCCTCCCTACATGCCAGCAGAGCGGCCTTGACACTCCGCACGACGCTAGCGGGACAGTAGGGCGCACAAAGCAGTCTTCATGACACTTCTGCTGAAGCGCCGCCCTATACTGACCCCTGCAGCCAATCGGCCACCGAGGCCTTTTCACTGAGGTGTGAACGGCGGCTGGGGCCACCAGCAACATAAGTGGGCCGGAGTCATCGGCGCAGAGTGGTTAGCATCGGCGTGAGAAAGGTTCCTTAAAGGGGCCCCCCGCCCTGTACCCAGAAGGCGTCGGAGGAAGCCACGGTACGTCGGGACCGGCGGCACCGACCTGCACCGGCTTCCACCTGTCTTTTTCCTCTATCCGGTCAGCAAGGAAAGAACGATCTTAAGAAGAACACGACTCCACAGCGAAACGTCACACCAGTACAAGCTCCTGCACGTTCTGCAGTTCCAGAACGAAACAGGTCGCGATAAAACAAAATGACCGCATGTCGAGTTGCTCTGAGCAACGTCGATTTATGGCCACTTTTGGCCTGCAGGTCTATCCGGCCAGCAAGGAAAGAACCATCTTTACATAAACACGACATCACAGCGAAACGTCACACCAGTACAACCTCCTGCACGTTCTGCAGTTTTAGAACGTAACAGGGCCGAATAAAACCATTTAAACGCATCTCGAGTTGCTCTGAGTAACGTCGATTCATGGCCACTTCTGCGGGGCAGGTCGTTTTAGGACAAGCTGACAGTCTCGTGCAACCGTCAAATGCCCCCTTTCCCAGCCTTTCTCACCGCCTTCTTTGGTGGGGCCTGGTTTTCATCAAAATCAATACCCGCAGAGTACAGCCGCAGGTCTGTGTCCGTGTGGTAGGGCGTACTGCGTAGGGCAGAACTGCGGTGCGAGACCAAGGTTGCTGAATGGCGCTCGTGAAGCGGACTGGCACGTGTCTTCACGTAGGCTGAACTGTGCTAGCGCCAATTCACCGAAGGCATTCAGAATATTACCCGTAGGCGGACGATGTCCCTGGCTTTGTTCTAGTTGTGGTAGCCAAGGAGGCTATACTTTTGCGAAATGAGGGGCGCAGCTGAGAAACTGCGGCTGCCGGGAATACACCTGCGCACTGTGGATCCGCATGAATGAAGAAGGGCTGAACAGTTGAGTCCGCTACGGATGCTGTAGCTTCTTGACCACAAGTTCTGGGCATGCAGGGAAGCATCCGGCCATTCGTAGCCCCTCCAGAACGCTGGACCCCTGAAGGGGGGAGAAGCTGATGGAACAACAGTGTGCAGGGGCACATACTGCTTCGGCGCCCACCAAGCGGAGGAACTGCCGACGGCAACGGGGTTTTTCTGGACGCAGATGCTGCTGCTGTGCTGAGGCCGCATGCTGGACCTCCTCTGGCGTGTACCCCGCCCCGTAGCCCACAGGCATAGAAGGGAGCACACGTTGGTCATGATTTTTTCCCGCCAAAAGCTGGGGGCGCTGCGGAATACGTCTTTTGCGCTGCTGTAGAAGTAGCTTGCACCTCCCTTTGCTGACGCACAGCCCACAGCTGCCGCTGCGGACCCGCCCCGACAGCATCATCGAAGACAGGATAGATAGGGTGCATATTTCCTTCTGACAACGAAATGCCTGTCGTGTGCGAGACGCCGTTGAAACCTACATCCTCCAAAAGAGGCGTGCAGGGATCACGAACACGCCCCTGTTTCGACTGTACAAGTGCGGGAGTTTGCACTGGCCGCGCAATTGCAGTGAAGTTCGCGCCGTCCACTTTCCCTCCGTTCAGATATTGCCCTACAGAGATAGGTCCGCAAGCGTTGTCTCCGCAGACAGCAATTCGTGTAGTCACTTGGTCAGTCTGCTCCGAGGCTTCGGGAAGACCCTCGTGGAATGGGGTGTTCATCTGCGGCAGAGTCTTTCCAGCAAGATTGGAAGGTGGGAGGGAGCCGGAGCCGTTCCTGGGGCTTCTGGAAGACTAGGTGCTATAGGGGACGGTGCTACTAGCTGTGGAGGACCTACCGTTGTAGGGGTTCTGAAAGCTGAACTCGTCGCGAAGGCGGCGTCAACTTTCTTGCCGTTCGTAAGCGTGACGCCGCAGTGCTCTTGCCCGGGGGCTTCCATGTAAGTATCTACTTCGGCATGACCTGCTCGACCCCCTAATGAATACGATGTCAGCGGATTCTGCAAAACTGGAGGTCTCAGGATCTTCCCGTGCGCCTGCGAGGGGCCCTGTTCCCTTACCGCAAGGCACTTGGGCGCGAGCGGAGGAGGGGACCTGTGCAGGGTGAACACCGCGCCTAGGTAGAATCTGTGCACCCACCGTAGCCTGGCTCACCTTCGGGGCTCCAGCCAGACCACCCGGCGAAGTGCCGTTCACCTGCGGCAGAAGGGTTGCAGGGAGTCCTAAGAAGGGCCGGGGTTCTTCAGTAGCTCCTGGGGCCACTGAATTGCTAGCCCTGGCGGCCAGTTGGGCTTCGCAAATAGTAGGTTCTGCCCTGATTGGGCACTGCCCTACAATCCGTGGAAAGTACTGGCTGTGCGGAGCGCCTCTTGCAGCGGCACCGGAAGCTGAACTCGACGCGGAGGCGGCGTGCGTTGGCTCGCCGCCTGTTAGCATGACGCTGCATTGGTGTTGCCGGGAAGCTTCAAGGGAAGTATTTTTCTCGGCATGATCGATCCCACTTTCTCGCGTATACGAAGTCAGCGAAACTGTGCAGAAGGGGGGCTCGCAGAATCTGCCCGGGTGCCTGCCTTGGGGCCGTGCTCTTGTACCCCAAGGCACCTGCGTGCGAGCGGAGGAGGCACCTGTGCGGAGCAGAGCGCCTCGTTGCGTTTTATTGGCGTACTGCGTTTGTCGGAGCACTTGGAGGGACTTTTAAGAGACCGAGTGTGCGGCCCCTGCTTGCTCTGTGGAATGTGTTGGCTCGCGGCTGCGCACGACATGGATATCGCCGCCTGGCGCCCTGCCAGTGAACCGCATCTCGCCCTAGAATGCCGCACCCAAGTCGGAAATGGAGGACTGCCTTCTTTCTCCGTAGACGTGCGTGCCTCGGGTAGACCGCCATTCTCCGTCGTGCTCGAAGGCTGTGCTATCTCCGGCCTCGCGCCCTGCGTGGGGCCCGACAGGATACGCTGCTTTTCGCGCCGGGCTGTCATTCGTGCAGCTACCGGAGCGTCGGTAGCCACCGCCGGGCCTCCGACACCAGCACCTTGCGAAGCGCCGTCCATATGTGTCAGAAGCAGTACAGAAAGTCCTGGGAAGTAGCAGGGGTCTCCAGTGGTTGCTGGGGCTTCTGGAATACTAGCCTTAACGGGTGCTGGTGCTTCCGAAAAACTGCGTGTCCCCTCAGCTTCAGATGGGTACTGACCTAGGATCTGTGGGACGTGCCGGCTATTCGGACAGACTCTCGTTCTGGTTGCCAAGTAAGTTGAGCTGCTCGCCGAGCCGGTATGGTCTTCCTCGCCGCCCACTGCGCATGACCCCGGGCGACATTTGCGGGTCGGGCGCCAGGTAAGTGACCTCTCCGGCTTGATCGGGTCCGCACTCCAGCGTATACGGTGTCAGGGAACTGTGCAAGACCGGAGGCCTCAAAATCTGCCGGGGTTCCTGCTTGGGGCCGTGCTCTCTCACCCCAGGGTATTTGCGTGCCACCGGAGGCGGGAGCAGTGCCGAGCGAAGCGCCTCGATTCGCTTCAGTGACGTCGTAGGCTTTGCGCTGTTGTCTGCGGGACGTCTCAGAGAATGGTGATATGGCCGCTGCTTGCTCTGCTGATCAATATTCGGACTCGCGGCGGCGCCTGGTTTGGACTTCCCTGCCTGGCGGCCTGCCAGTGAGACGCTTCTCGCCTTAGCGTTTGGCAGGCAGCAGGACAAGTGAGGACCAAGTTCTTTCTGGGGCGGGCGGGCGTGCCAGCGGCAAACCTCCGTTCTCTGATGTGCTCATAGGGTGCGTCATTTTCGTCCTCGCGGGTTGATTCGATTTTGATAGGACGTGCTGCCCGTCACGCTCAGTTGTAGTCGGTGCAGCTACCGTAGCCTGGGCAGCCGCCTCCGAGCCTCGAGAGACACTTTCGCGCGAAGGGCCGTTCATCTGCGCCAGCTGCATTCCAGAGATTTCCCGAGAGTGGCAGGAGGCCTCGACCGATCTTGCGGCTTCTAGAATGCTAGTCGCAGCGGCTTCTGGACTACGACGTCTTTCCTCGCCTTCAGCAGGAAAGTGTCCTGCATCTTGTGGAGGAAACTGGCTAGTCGGATCGTCTACTGTAGTGGTAAGGAAAGTCGAACCCCCGCCGAAGGCGGTGTCGACCTCCTGGCCGTTCACAGGCACGATGCCAGACTGCGCATGCAGCGGAGCTTGCGGTTGATTCCCGTCCGTGGCTGGATCGGTTCGATCCTCAAGCATAAACGAAGTCAGCGGACTGCGCAAAACTGGGCGCCCGGGTGCGTGCCTACAGTCCTGCCCTTTTGCACCCGGGTATCTGCGGGCGAGCGGAGGCGGGAGCGGCGCGAAGTACGGCACCTCGTTTCGTTTCTTTGACGTAGTACGCTTCGCGCAGTTGTCTGCGGAATGTTTTAGAGAATGGTGATACGACCGCGGCTTGCTCGGCTGATGAAGATTTTGGCTCGAGCCTGCGCACGGCCTGGGCACCGCTGCCTGGCGGCGTGCCAGTGAAACGCTTCTCGATTTACCGTTCGGCGCGTAAGAAGAAGACTGACATCTACCTTCTTTGTGTGGGGACGTGCGTCCCTGAGGGAAACCCGCCTTGTCTACTGTGCTCGTAGGATGTGTCATTTCCGTCCTTGAGCCTTGCTTCTCCCCCGGCAGGGCGCGCTGTCTGCCACGCCCGCCTATAGTCCGCACAGCTACCGTCGCGTTGCGGGGTTCCCTCTCGACTTGCAGCCGGCACTTCATCTGAGTCGGTGCCCGCTTCACTTCTTGCTGACTCTGGAGTATGGTAGACTGGTGTTTACGAGAGTGGGAGGTAGCCAAGGTCGGTGCGTTCACGTGGGGCGCGCAGGAACCCTGCTGATCCTTTTTCGGCATCTCGCGTGGCTGCGCGCCAGCAGCGGTGGCGTGACCGCCCGATTCAAACGTGGCGGCCGCAACGTGGGCAGTGCCTCTTGCCTCGGCTGTGGTTTCGGATGGGTCGCAGCTGCGCGCCGTGGACGTGTCAGCGCAGGGCCGGAGCGTCCGCATGTTTCATTTCTTCGCACCGCTCCGGACTGGCTGATGCCGCGATTCTTCTGGGTAGCCTCCAAAGAAATGTCGGTCTTACTCTGCATGTGTTCCTGAGGGTCCGCTTTCAAAGCTGCGGGTGTGACGATCGCGTGCGGATGAGCTTGCAGGTTGGCTTCTTCTGGAGTCGCTGGGCAGGTCCGTGCAGCGCGGGCGGGAGCCTGTATCCCACTTCGCCCTTTCTTGCTGAGCTCCACAACGTTCTTTGAGCGATCCGCTGTTAACCGACACTGGCTTAGGCGTCGAGGGTTCTAGAGCTAATGTCTCGTTTCGGAAGCTTTCTGCCGTTTCGGCCTGGTTTCCGCGAAGCACCTTGATCCTTTGGAATGCTGCATTCGGTGCTTGAAATGGGGACTTACCCGGAAAGTCTGTGTCAGCTTTAGCGAGTTGTGCCAGCTCCCCCACGGATCCTTCACAATACTGGGCTGTGTCTGTTGCGTGGGGCAAAGTGGCGGGCACGAGACAGAAAGCCTTGGGCAGCTCCTGCTGGGTCTCTTCGTCGTCGTCACTTAAGTAGTACGAGAGGTCTACAGGTCGCAACTGTGCGCACGCTAGTGGAGGGAACGCGGTTTCCGCTGTCGCCCCGGTGACCTCATTGTTGCACCCGTCCTGCACAAGCGCTGGCAGTGAGACGTCAGTCTCCTCCGGAAGCAGATAGTAAATCGTGTTGTTGCTTGTCAGTTTCACCACGCTCTCCGTTGCGTTGCGGCTCGAACATGCGTCCGCCGGAGCCTTGGGCATCTCCTCGTCGCGCGCGACAATGCCGTTTCGTGCGCTTACTTGCGCAGGAGACACCAAGTGGGAAGATACACTTGCGGCGTGATGTGCTTGGTCTGCCGCGCTATTCCTCTCCGTCTCACTGGTGGGGCTCAAGCAACTAGAATTGTCTCCGAAACTGTGCGTCCGCTCCTGCGTGCGCGTGTCTTCGCTTTGATGATCTCTATTGTCTAGGGAAAGCTGCCACATGATGTCCTCATATTCTTGGTAAGAGATGCCGTACGCGCGCTCGAATGCCGCCTCTTCCGCGTCTTTTCGAGCCAGAATGCCCGGCAGGAGATGAAGCGGTAACAGGGGAACGAAAGGATAGCGACGAACGGACGGCGAAGCGGGGCCTTCGTCCGCAGAATCCAGCTGTTCGTCTTGTTTGCGTGCGGTGAATACCGGGTAGACCTCCGACTCGCTTCCAGACTCCGTTTCCGACTGTGGCTCCGTCCTGTTCACCGTGCCCAGCAGCGGGACTGCTACAGCAGGTAGGCCGTCCTCTGTAGCATTCGTGTGCGCCTCCGTGTCGCCAGTCAGGTCGTCGCCGCCTCCAGGTGATTTGCTCCCTTCCAGCTCACCTGCCTGTAGGGGCAGAAGGGGCGCGCTTTTGCACACGATAGCAGGCCCCATCCATGGGGGACCTGCATGGCGTCTCGCTGGTCCACAACCGCCGGGACGCGCGGCCTTCAGTGACGAAGAGACTTGTCTACAGTGGTGCTGCGCTTGCGGAAGCCTCTCATTCTCGGCAGCATCCGCCCGCGTAGCGATGCCGCATGCTGCGGTGGCTTTCACTCCCTTACTTTCCTGGGTTTGCTCGCGTCTGCTAGCCCCACCCGCTTTACACTTTGAAGGGCTTCTCGTTCCATAACGCTGAATGCAGTAAGACGGCTTCCGGCCTCCCAGGGGATTCGTCAGCTTGCACGAACGACCGACTTGGCAGGCCCGCCCTTGCCGCGCCGCTCCTGGGCGTGCAGTGGACTGGAACGTAGGCGTCTGGCGCGTGCTCGACGAGGTCTTATTCGTCGTTAAAGTCGTGGCAGCCGCAGGATTAGGGGGGCCTACACTCTGTCTGTCCTCTACAACTGCGGACGAAAGAGCAGGAGGACCTTGGTGTCCCACCTGCTCTCCGTGTTTCTCCGTACTCCGTGCCAGGAATGACTCACAACTCTCTCGTAGTGGTGCCACCGCAAGGAATTTCGCACTCGTTGGCTCGTGCTGCTCTGAACCTCCTTCAGCGCCAGCATTACAGCTGCTTATCCGGACACTGGAGCGGACAGGCGGGCCTTCGAGATGGTTCTGCGTTCCGGACATGACTTGCAGCTGTGCACATTTCTGGTCGACGACGGTTCTGACCGCCCCAATGCCGAAGGCACCGGAGCTGAAAGCCGTCGTGCCATGTTTGGCCTTAATAACGGTCTCTTTTTTCGGAAACGGCTTGCAGGCGGACCAGGTGCCTTTGGCCAGTGTTCTTCCGTTAGCGGGTGGTAACGGAGGCACCTTGCACGGTAAGGTAGGCTGCACCGCGCACGTGCGGTTTCCTGGCCCGCCTTCGCGAGCTCGGTTGCTGCTGGACCTAGAAATAGTGCACAGTTGTACAAGCGGAAACTCAGCGCTGCGGTCTGCAGGTGTGACGTCTGCCTCTCCGCCCTTTTGCAGGACCGATTCCGCAGCAACAGCGCTGCTTTGGGGGCACCCGGTCGACTGACTGTGTGGCTGTTGGTGGACGTGTTTACTTCCGCTACATTCAGGAGAGTCTGCGGATGTCAAGTTAGGGAGCGGGAAAGGGTTCTGCCCTCCTGCTGCGGTGTGCGCCAAGCACGCGGTAGGTTCTTCTAGGACCTTCTCTTCTACTGGAGTTCTCTTTTCACCGTTTCGCGGCTTGTCCTGTGCTGGCCTAAGTGCTTCCTTCTGTTTTGCTCCCGTAGGGAACAGTGTGCAAGGCTGCCTGCCCGCACGGCTCTTCAGCGCCACAGCCGGCGCCTCAAGCGTGATCCCAGCCCTTGCCTTCGCCTCTGGCAGGCATCCTTGATCTAGTCCATCCCCTCCAGATTCCTCGTCTTCTGCATTGTAACCAAGTGGCTCCTGCCTTCTCCCTCCAAGCAGCTCAACGGCCACCCCTTGGTCATCCCGCCTGACCCCCGGTCTTGTCCCCGCATCCTGTGAACATCGTCCTCGCTCTGACTCATTCGTTCTAGATTTTTCGATCTCTGATTGGCCACCACGCCGTGGTTGGCTTGTCCCCCCACACGATGTCAGCGTCACAGCTTGCTCTTCCCGCTTCAATTCCGCCACTGCGGTCTCCGCGTCCTGCGAGCATCGTCCTTGAACCAGTATGCTCGTTGTAGATTCCTTTTCTTCTGTTCCGCAGCGGGCTAGCGGGTGTCTCGTCCCTCCACCCGGTACCGCTCCCGTCCCTCGGTTAGCGGCGGGGGGGTCCGCCGCCCTCGAAGATTTCGTCAGCATGCGCAGGTTCAGCAGGAAGAGCAAATGAAGCGTGTGTCAGTTCTTTGACTAAGACTGACCCAGAGGTAAAATCAAGCTGTCTGCGGCCCCCAGAGCTAAAATCAAGCTGTCTGCGGCCCCCGGCAGCGGGACGTGTCCGGCGCAGGTTCGATTCTGTTGATTTGCATACCTGCGTTGCCTGCTATCGTCTTTCCACCGCTCTGTGATGATGACTGTTTAGCACTGGCGAGAGGAAAGTCATGTTCAATCATGTGTGCATCGCCTAAAAAAACACTCTGGGCGGTTTCCTGCGGGCTTCCTTGGGAGACGTGAGACTTTGTGCGTGCCTCCTCTGCTCCCCGCTCCCCGATGCGCAACAGAGGCTGCGCGCCTCAGGCACAAGCCCGCTTCCGCCTTCAATGAAGTCCCGCTCAGCCATGATCTCCGCAAGGACGGGAGGTATTCCACAGCACGGGACGCACCTCCCTGCGTTCTCACTTGTGACACAACTCCGCCACCTTACAGACAAACATGTGCGCACCGCGGAAGATTCTTGGGCATGGTCCGCGAGACCTGCGCATACTTGATGCAAAATCAGCGCGTAGTACACTGTTGACGTGCGCCTCCCAAGTGCACACTCTCTCCTGTGTGAACGTGCACCACTCGCCGTCCCTCCAGCTTTCACCGGAACTTCCACAAGCACCCCCGGCTGTGAACGAGTACACGGCGGGAACACCACTGGCATAGAGCCTCTCAACGTCAAGAGATGTCGCATTCGCGGAGCGCGAAGAATAGCCGAATAGCCAGTGTCCTGCATGCATGAAAAGCGCATGCTTTTCACCTAGCACGGCCCTCCGCAGCACAGTCCATACAGGAACCATATTGTGGTGTTCTACATTACGCTCGCTTTTCTCGACGTCGCGTGATAGCACGCAGCGCCCTTCAGCAGTAACTTCCCAAGCACGGCACAGGATCCGCGGGTAGGGCCGCACGTCTGGTATCTGGAAGCTAGTTGAGGCAATTAAAGGCCCGGGGCTCCGGATCCGGGGGCACACAAAAGTGAATTTTTAAAGTGTAGGATGGAGATCGGCCGTAGCCCTGCAAACGGATGAACGATAGGGTGCGCGCGTGGAGCAAGGCAAGACAACGCAGTAGTCCCGCTGTTCTTAGATTGCTGTATGCCCAGATTGTTGTCTCGCCGTCAGGTCAGGGTTTTAGCAAGCACAAAAGTTGACTATCGGCAGTAGAGTCCACGCGGAGGACTCCTATCTTGATTCTCTCCCATTCTTCTGCAGTTTCCGCGTACATGACCTCTGACACTTCAGCAACAAGCCCGGGCTTTTTCCAGAGGACATTCGGTCTCTGTTCTCGTGGCGCTGACGCCGTGAGCCTGCACTGTGAACAGAGACTGCGCGCGGCAAGAGGGTTGGCTCGGCTGCGTGGCAGTGGGACACAGCAGCTCGCACGTTGTTTTGAAACAAGGCGTTGCAGGCGGCCAGCAACACGCCTACGCTGTCTGGGAAGGAGAAATGAAAAGATCTTCTGAAGAAATGCTTCAACAAAAGTTTCGTGCGCCTCGCCGCTACTTCTTCACGCGGCAAGGCTCACTGAATCAAATTTTTGCTGATGTGTCGCTAGTGCACTTCTGCTCTGCGAGCGCAGCAGCATGGCTGTTTACGAGATAACGATATTATGTGGACCATGCGCGGGCCGTGGTCTCTTCTTACGCTCTGACCAAGTATGCCCTGCGTGGCCAACGGGATGTGTCTCCTCACACTCCTTGAGAGAGTCAGAGTGACCCAGCTCTTATGTTCTCGCATCTCGCACAAACGGGTGACTGAAGGCGCTGAGCAACTACGTGTCGCCCTAGCTCACTACCTATCGTCGAAGCAGTGGCTGCCCTACAGCGAAGAAGGGTCGAAGGCGTCTCACGGAGAACAGGGAGGGACGCGGGTCGCATTCAGCGACAGTTGTGGCACGCCAGCGCGGAAGTACAAGAGACCAGACCGTAAAAAGCGCACCACAAGTGAGCATCTGCCTGAGACGCGTCTTTTGCGCTGTCCGAGGCATGCGAACACGTGTCTGCACTGATTCCGTAGTGTACGTCGGCGCACGTAAGGGCTGTGCAGTGTGCAAATCTCCCCTGTTTGCGGCCAACTTGGGCGTCAGTGGGTTGAAATCTCGCGCTGTGGACGGGGGGCGCACACGGCATGCTAATGTAAGCCGTCTTCAAATAACGCTTATTTGGGAGCAGCAAGTCCAGCCCTCAGGACAACCACCGAAGAAAAAGGCGTCTGAGGCACCCGGCCGGCTGCCCGCTGGCGACCGGGCCCCTCGTGGCCGGCAGTGGTTCAAGTGCAATGAACAGCCTCCTGCACAAGTGGTATGCCAGGAATAATGCAGCTAAGCTCAAGGCTGGCATTTGTTAGCCTCTCGTGCGGAGCGTGGTTCAATAACACTTGTGAATCCCACAGGTAGCCGCCGCTGACAGCCAGCCACGGCCGTGCTCGCAGCCTCAAGACGCGGCAAGCCCGGTGGCTTAGCACCAAGGAATCTGCGCCGCTGCCACCTTCGCAGCCGCTAGTTAGCTGCAAGACGCCAGCAGCCTCATTGCTTCAAAAGTAGTGCCCTCAAGTCGTCGTTACGAAACATTCGCGACGTACCTCATACGGCCGGCCAGTGACCGAAACTTCCTGCATTACGATGAGGAAACTGAGCGTCAGATACACAGGCGTCCCAGATTTGAAGGCCGAAGGCCGGTCGCAAGTAATTCGCTTGATAAGTGTGCCGGCGTCCACACTGAGGCAGACGGAATGGGCATGAGGCGCAAGTAGGTCTCTGTACTTCGAAGTAACTGCCAGCGGCTCGCTCACGGGGGCCCTATGCTGTACCTGGGTGCCTGCGCAAGAGGCGGCGGACACTACGGGAGATGCCAAAGACGAACATCCGTTTGTGCCGGACAAGCACGCCCTAGAAGGCGCGTGCGAGCACGAAGAGAAGGCTATCACGACGACTGGCAAACTATGCTGGCGCAGCCGGATCCTGTTCAGAACTCACGGTTCGGCGGCCGCACATGCATCAGGGGGTCTGGCACGAAATGGTGGTCATCCTGCCGCTTTTAACACGCTTCCGGCCCTCAACGCTGCAACGTACGTATGCAGTATGAGCAGGACCGTGGTCACATTTGGGTAACAAGCGCCTGGGACGCGTAATAACGACCAGGGCACCTTCCAGACGAGTAATTCGCTCAGCCCACCTACAAGCTGCTTTCCGAACGCCCACGAAGTCCCAACACGCTGGTCCTGACAGTGTGCCCTCAAATACAGGGTACAGGTCGCGCGCACGTGCGCAGGCACACAATGAACTGTGCCCATAGAGGCGTTGCGTGACCGCCCCCCAGTCGCCGCACCTAAGGATTTGCATCGTCATGTCGCAAAAGTGACCCGCCTCCCCTGCGCCAGTATATTCCCTCTCGGAAGTGTAGTTGACGAAGTGACCGAGTAATAGGGGCACGGCGCGCATACTCTCTGGCCGACGTGCTGACGCCGCATCGGGAGGCAGTGTCACGTTCGGGCAGTGCCGAGAGACTCTAGGACGGCGGAAACACACAGATCACCTGGCCCGTCTCACTACCTTGCAAGCGCGCATGAGTCCTGTAGCGTGCAAACAGCCGAAAAAACTGTCGGCGCAGGCTGCTCGTCAGTTAAAAGGAATGCGAGCTCTGCTCGCTCATGTACGCTGCTTCAGTGCATCTCGTCTACTGCGAGTTCAAAACCACTTTCAGGCTCCCACTCGGTGAACACACTCGCGGCCTAGAAAGGCGCCGTTTTTCGTCTCAGCCCTGTGCTACGCGCCGGCTCGTACCATACGTGGCTGCAACGTGATAGAGAATACGGCGAAAGAGCGGCCCGTGATACATTCCGCTGCGAGCGCACAGGCCGTCATTAGCTGGTGTTCCACGATCTATGTAACTTCCATAACGCTCCGCAGAAGTGCTTTCAAACTCCTCCCAGCCTTGGCGATGCGTAGGCCTTCCGTACGTAGATGTACGGTGGTGGCATCCACGACGGGCTCGCAAAGCTGACAACCCACAGAAACCGAGTGTTGTCAACCCTTGTGTGCCGCCGTAGAGAGAGTAAGATCGTCGAGCTTGACTATGGCGCCCATTCGACATTCTGCGCAGCTGCCCCTTTCTGCTCGACGTGGTAGGCTGCTCTTCGGGTTACACCGTCGTGCAAAGCCCCTTCTGAAACGTCACACGGTGTCCCGTCAGAGCCCCGTACCAAGTAATTATACAGGGACAGCTGTTATTCTGAAGTGCCCTCTCTGATAGTGACTCGGCTCAGCGCGCCACGTCGTCCTCGTCCACACGCACACGAGAAGAGGAATCCGCCTGGGGTATTGTATGACGGAATATTGTATGCTAACCACGCGTTTGCTGAGCAACATATATATATATATATATATATGCACACGTACGCCAGCTTCGCCGTGGGAGAGCTGTGCGGAACGAGACGTGCGAGCCTCTCTGAAGCGTCCGCCGGGCTCCCCCCCCTCTACGGCGATGGTATCCCCGTGCGCCGCCGTTCGAGAGAGCACCAGCACATCTGCCAGAGTTCTGCTGTGATGCGCACCGCGTTTTCTCCTGGACGCGTGAGGCACCCCCGGGGCAGCATCACACGATGGCTGTGGTCTCCGTCAAGCCCCGGTGGCTGCTCGCTTGCCGAGGCGGGGAGGGCATCGGCACCGAAAATGCGTACAGCCGCGTGCGCCGTACCCTTAGGCGCATACCGCCGGGACAGGCTCAAAGACGCCTACTGCAGACGACAGTCTGCGACTGCCTGAAATTGGAAGAAGCCGGCTTCTGCTTTCGTTTATCTGCCCATGCGCCGCTTTGTCCAGCACGCAGACCCTTTGCGGAAGGGGGCCACGACCACGGGGGCCACTGTACGGTGAAGTAGGGGTCCGCTCGTCGACCGCAGCAGAAGAACAAGCAAAAGCCCCGAGTGAGACTGCCCAGAAGACGGCATGCAACATGCACACTGCTTGTACTCATCCTGCGATGGTCATCTGGCAGTGCACCGAAACTGGCGGGCCCGACCACGGCTCGACCAGGTGAGGTCGACGTTGGGCGGTCTCCTTGATACACTGTTGCTTTCACCGCGGTATCTTTCTTCCGACGACCACGGCCTGCCGCTCGATCGCCTTCCCGAAAACTGTACGTACTGACGTAGGGTGAAGTGCTTTATATCGATCGTGCGCCGCTCCAAATTCATCGCTCCAGAACCGCACGCTGCTTCTGTGCGCATTTCGAACGGCTCGCAGTTTACCAGCCGCAGCTAAAATGCACTTGGAAAACAGAGGTGACAAGCTTGAGACTTACAATATGTGGTGCGAAAGATCAGGTGCACGTCACGCGACCGATCTCACACCCTCAGCCGCCGTAAACGCGGTTGCGGCGACTTAAGTACTCCTCCAACGCAAGAGCCGGTGGAATCTCTCAGGCAGAGGCTGTGCCGCCGGGGACCGGGACAACACGCTTGGCTATCTCTGCGCGGTGACCAGAGGTTATCTAACCGGCGACTGGGAGACGTTTTGGCCGACAGGAGTTCAGTGCGCTGGCCTGTAAGAGTATGGGATCCCGTCACGCCAGGCACCCGGCACGTCATTCTATCGCGCTTCCTTTCAACACTAGGCGGTCTCTGTGTAAATGGTTTTCATGGGGCATAGCTTCGCGTCTCTTCCTGCTGGTAATGCTGTGTGCTGGCGTGTGTCTAAGCCCAGCAGAAGAGCGTGTCCTCGCGAAAATCGCGGTCGCAACGGTCGAGGTCCCTTTGCAGGTTGTCAGTGACCTGCAAGGTCAGCCTCTGGCCAGAGCAGACTCACTCCGCCTTAACGTCACTGATTCCGCAAGCGAGTCTGTGCATGTAATCCGCCGCTCCTTGTTAGTCAGTCATTCAGCCCAGGAAAACTGTGCTTGTCCGTAAGATGCAATCTCTGTTGCCCCTTGGCAGGCCGTCCGTGAGTGGTGTCACCCAGCATGCACTGTGACTTTTCTGTATGTGCGCTAGAAGCGGCTGAAGCGCATTTCAAAAGACGGGAGTCGTGCATGCAACAACGCAGCGGAAAGTGAGTCCTTGAGAGCCGTGAGTAAGTGAGCAGTCCGAAATCTCGCACGCCATCTCCGGAACCGCTTGCAGCGTTACTATGTCACATGAAGAAGAGCAACGTAGAGCCCCACCCTGTACGCTGCGCGGTGGTCCTGCCCAGTATACCTCGCGCATGTTTGCATTCACTCGGAAAGACTCCCGTTTGGTTTTGTAGTCAGAAGGGAACGACGCTTTGTAGTGATGGTTTCCGAGGCGTTGGCATGCGCGCTTGTGGAAGCTCGCCCATTGCCTGCTCCGCGCGTCCCAACGCTACGTGCAACGTGGTTACATACGCGACCACTGCGCGCTCTCCCACGCGTCTGTATCACACGGTGGCTGCCTGAAAGCCCAGTAGTCCTTTTGTGCCGCCAGCAATACGTGCGTCCTGCGCTCACCCCGGAGCCTGAGCTCTTACGGCGGCCCGAGCATCGGTGCGTTTGCACCGAGGGTTTCCGCGAGGAGGATGAAAACGTAGGGTTTTATTCCGAAGCTCGTGCCGAGCTCGACAGCGAGAAGAGAGCGAGAAAACAGCTGAAGGCGTACAGCACTGGCAAGAGGCGTCTTAAGTAATATTCCTGTCTTGCGCTATCAGGAGTCATAGGTTAAATGCTTGCTCGTCGACGCGGGTTGTGCGCGCGGAAATCGCATCCCCGATGCTAGACTGCGTACTCGATCACGGCGACGCCGTTGTCATCGACAATGGCTCGCATTCATTCAAAGTAGGATACTGTGGGGAAGACCTGCCTCGCAGCGTGGTCCCGGCCTTGAAGGTTACCATTCAGAGAAGGCGCGACTCCGAAGATGATGGGCCTGCGGAGGACAGGCCACAAGTCACAACGGAGGTGCTACTTGGCAAAGACGCGTGGAAAGCTCATGACCCAGGTCTGTCCTGGCTCAAAGGAGACCACAACATCCGCATTGCACACAGCCAAAGTCGTTCCAGTCCAGGGTCATCCGTACCCTGATGTGTGAGCTGCGTCCTCCTCTCGCATCTGCGTTTTTTAGAACGGATAGTGACGACGCCGATAAAGCATGGAATGATTGTGGATAAAGAGGCACTAGAAGAGCTCTGGGAACCTATTCTGGAGAATCATGCCCAAACAGATGCGAACAACCTTACTATGCTCGCCACGTATCCGCCGCTGACCCCGCCTGTTACGCTAGAGTGGATGGTGGAAGTGCTCTTCGAGAAATTTCATTGCCAGCGTCTCGCGCTGATGCCGCCAGGGCCGCTCTCTTTGTTTTCTACAGGTGTGCGCAGGTCTGCCCTGCAGGGATCTCCTGCACAAACTCTTACTGTCCTTATTTGCAATTCTGGTCTTACCCCTGAACAATGCGCCTGGAATGGGCTCTCTCTTTCTCTCACGGATGCAGGGCGCTCTCGAGGCCTCGTCGTGGAAATTGGAGAGAGTATTACCAGCGCTACACCGGTTTTCGAAGGGTTCCCACTTGCTTATTCTACCTTCAGAATGTTCCGGGCTGGTGAGCAAACCCCCCTCCTGACTCGCGTTGTGCACAAACATAACGACACCGCACACGACGAGCACGGCTAGTACAAAAGTACAGAACGGCGTTTCTTTGCTGCTTGCCAGCCCTGCTTGTATAGGCGGCGCCGTGAGTACGGCTCTCAGTCAGATCCTTCGACAGACCCCGTCGCTCCATGGCTCCCTGTACTTCAGTAATGCTGAAGTGAAGGAAGAGATGAAGCACAAACTATGTTCCGTGGCAGTGCCGGATCTACATACTCAGCTGCGGAGCGCGGATACGTCAACCTTTGAGGACCGGGCCTTCCAACTCCCGGACGGTTCAGTGATAGAAGTAAGCAGTTCGGGCTGACCCGCGTAGTACTTAGAACTGCCTCCCCACATAGTGTCATGTTCGTCGTCGTAGTTTCGCTCGCTCGATGTCCCGAAGAACATAAGAGCAATGCCTAAGACAGTTGACGGGTTCATGAAAATGAGTTCGCTACAGCTGAGGCGTCAAATGCTGCACACCACATATCGTTGCGTGCACGCAACCCAGTTTTCAGAGCGAGGTGGTGCAGTGTGGGTACGGATGCGCCGCAGGTCAATCAAAGGCTCCGGTACGAGCCGGCAGAGGTCCTTTTTGATTCGACGATACTAGCGGAAGATTTATCGTCGGTGCCAGATGTTCCTCGGCTGCTTCAAAGTGAGCTGCGCAGCAGGGAGACGCTACAAGGCCTTGTCTACGCAGCCATATCCGCCACCGACACGGAATTTCAGACGGACATGAAACAAAACGTTGTCCTAGCAGGTGGCTCCTCGCTTCTCCGGGGCCTGTCTGACAGGCTGCTAGGCGAGCTGTTTGTGTTTCGAACAGGCGGATTCGAATCCCTACAATATAATTGCAGATAGCCAAAGAAGATACAGCGCTTGGGTGGGAGGGTCAATGTTCGCCAGCCTAAGCACCTTTCCTCTGTTCTGCGTGTCTCGCGCTGAGTATGAAGACGGTAATGGGGAGTATGCGGCCTTCATTCATTCGAAAAGCTTTGCGCGCTAGCGTAGCGCTGTCGGAGGGTGTTATAGAAGGATGTGGGCGAAAGGCGTTTTCACGAAAGCGATTCATGTTGACGCGCAGAGTACTGACGGCGCGCAGTGCGCCCGGCAGCAGAAAGTGGAGCAGACCGCTGGAGGAACTGCCGCATTATGGTTTCTGTCTTCCAAAGAGCGTGTGTTTTTTTTGCACCATTCCATCAGCTTCTGGGCTTTGCTTGCGCTTCGCCCCCCTGCACCGCTGCCTTTGCTCCTGACGAATGCTGGTAGTCGTGCCTCATGGAGCAGTGTGGACGACTTTGGCTGGTCGCCAGAAGTCGCAAAGAGAAGGAGGTTCTTTGTAAAGCCGTCGTGCGACTATCATGAGGCCACATTCGCGGCGAGCGTCCGCCGGCCCACCCTGTAGGATCCCGCCTGCGGGGATCCATCTGGACCATCCGTATTATTTCAGAAGTTTCTACACGAGCATATTGCTGCAGGCCACCGGCCTGCTACCCGGCTATACTTCTGGAGGCCAATGTAGTCGGCGAGGACGGCGAGCGGCACTACCGCGAGCCGGCACGCACCGCAGGCCCTGCTTACGCCTCGTCAGCTGCGCCCCTGCAAAAATCTGTGCAGCAGCGAAAACTGCGGCAGCCACTGGCCGCCATAATGGTTCGGAGCCTCTCCTCACCGCATCCATGTAACAACGACCCCTTTTGCAGCGACTGCTGTAGCTCACCACATACCTACGTTGACAGCTGGCTGATCAGGGGAAGCGCGCCCACTTCCAGCACTTTGCCACAGTTACTGTTTACAAACACCCATACGGCCATAAATCTTACACTAGCGCTATCACGGTCGCTCCCGCTTCCGCCGCCATGGAACTACGTACTCGTGCTGACGCGACCATCGGCGCTACTCTTGTTGTTGGTACCGCTGAAGATGCCCTCAAAGACCGTAGAATTGCCTCTACACGTGGTAGTAGTTGCCGTAGCTGTAGTAGCGGTTGTATTAGCATCATTGTCAGAGAACGCACTCGTAGTATAAGTTGTCTATGCGCCTGCGACGGAGTATGACTACCACTGTCTCCAGCGCGGCTACTCCCACGACCACAAGTTCGCTTGTGCCTTCTTGAAGTGCGGTCGTCTCCAGAACCATCTAAGCCGTTTCTGAACCTGTAAACTGCTGGTAGTGTTACGGCGAGAAGCGTCTGTACTCTGTGTACGTGTGTCGCCGTACTGCGGCTGCCACTTCAGCCGCACTGTCACTAGTAGGACGTGTACCAGCATGACAACCTTTCTAGAACAAGCACTGCTCCTACTGCAACCATTATACCCTCGGCGTCCGCCCGCCTGGAGTATGCCGCGGGTCGCAAGCAAGATTGCGCCTCACCGCGTTGATGAAATAATTTTCAGCATTTATCTCCAGAAGGTGTATGCTCCGTCACCTACACACGCTTCTGTCTCCCGTCCTGTCCCAACGATGAAGCCACCTGAAGTCCAGTGAACGCAGGGTTCTGGGCCTGCAGCTCAAGAGAACCCCTGTGTGTCGACAACACTCGCACGGACTCCAAGGTTTAAGCTCGCGTCTCGTGCGCGAGCCCGTGGACCGCGCCTCTGCACAGTTACTCGCTGCACACAGTCAGGACGTGTGTTCCAAGGTGAAACAAACTGTCTCCCTGCAGGAAGCGGATGTTATGAGCTGCGTACTCTCTAACTATCGGGGCAATACCGTGGTGGACGCAAAGCCCGACAGTCTACAGCGGCTCCTTCTCGCACAGCATGAGACGAGAACGAGGATGAGACCGTGTCCCTTGCGGCTTGCTGTCCACGTGCATGGGGGGAACGTCTGCGCATACGGAAGCCCCTACACTCTCCTCCTTATCCT